AAACTTTTATTTTACGTCCTGTAATGACAGTGTACTGTCTCTGACTCATATTTATTTAATACCAGCAGAGTACCCGTCCTTCGTACGGGGTTGGCAAATAAGTATAAAATGCTTATTGCAGTTATACCCGATCTTTGCGTTTGCGATGTGAGAAAACACGGTTTGAGAAAATTTGCTTCCTGAAATTTACGGTATGCGATAGTATTACACATCTACTATAGCCATAATACTACATAAGTTCTACTACTTCACCTACACAATATAGAAAGATAGATTATTAAAAATTCGCAAAATATCATAAATTATTCATGAAATTAAAAACATAAACATAACTGTAAACAATCCTACTTTGACAGTTCTCATTATCACAGTTTGTTGTTGCTGCTTAGTTCAAATTAGCTGTTTTCATAAATAACGAAAAAAATAATAGGGCTGTACCCTGTTGGTAAATCTTATAAATTTTTAATGCTTTTGCATATCATAGAACCAACTCTTTTAGTTGAAACAGCTGGATAAATTCTATAATTCCCTTTAAATATGAATACTCATAAGGTTAACATGGGGTTCTGCAGAGCCACTGGGGCGGAGCCCGAAAGGATTTTTGAGATAAGAATATGCCTATATGTTAATCGGGAATGTGAGCTATCATCATGCCAAATTTCAGCCCAATCCGACCAGTATTTTTCGTGTTTACTTGTCACAAACATACATACATCCATACATCCAAACTTTCTCATTTATAATATTAGTAGGATCTCCAAAGCAATAATCACCTGGGAAGGGTATAGAATTCTTTATTTTCCCCAGTTCCTTAAGCTTCTGTGGTCTGATGTTTATTAAGAGCGAAATAGCCCCCAAAACAAGTGGTAAAGTTGATAATAATAAATAAATAATTATTCAATATCATGTTACTTTTCCACTGGACAATGCTTCACTACATCAGTTCAAACCCTTAAGATATTGCGACAAGTTACATTAATAACCAATAAATCACCCTCCAGAAGTTTCCTTATTAAACGTACACATAATTCCATGAAGGTTGGTTTTTAAATACATCCTTTTTCTATACTTAGCTTTATTATACAGTGGTCTATTATGTAAACTGTGGTGACAATAGGTGCTATATTAGTTGGTAAATAAATCAATGGACTGAGTACACCTAAGTCTAAGGTCAGTATAATCATTGGCTAGCCAATAGTGTAACAACAAAGCTCAGGTCGCTCCGGTCGTGATCGAGAGCCAGTTTATGATTCATGAGATGGACTGTGCGGAATAACAAGTCAGTTTCGGTCTTGAATATGACCTGCAAGTCGAACATAAACTATCTCAATACAAACGAGGATCGCTTCAATAGACTAATCTCAATCTCAATTACTGGTAGAAGTTTATGTGTAGAATGATTGAACCATTAGTACACCAAAGCAATCGTATCAAAATACTTTTTTTTTCATTCACCATTTTGAAATGTACAACACCATTAAGTACCTTCTCAAAACTTTCTTCGCACCTCATGTAAATTTGCTAAATTGTGTGCCTTTTTCTTAATAGAGGGTAAAGGTTTACAGGGTGAAATAAAATTAAAATATGAAATGCATAGTTTATATTTGTCCAGGTGGACTCTTTATTGTCTCCTACGGAATTTGATTTTCTCTTTATATGAAATTACGCCTGTTGTTGAAAATCCAAGCCCTGGTCTTGTTACATTCGAGATTGGATATTCAATAAAATATTCCATCACTTAGTCAGATTATTTTACTATTTGAATAAGATGAATTTTATTGAGTACTAAGTTTGTTGCTTCAGATTAAAATGTTTGAGCTTGAAATTGAAATGAGCTTAGCATGAAATATACAAAAAAACTATCGAAACATTGAAGTGTAAACTATTTTATATAAATTCAATATAGATTCCATGTGTGAATTAGATTAATGCGTAACCACACATAGGAGGTAATATCGTTTGCCGCTATATGCATTAGTTCACACCGCTTCATTAACCAGTGCAGAGGCAATGTCTGTGTCCTACATGTCACATAGGGGATGCGAGGGTTTAATTTTAAATCGCAACTCTTTTAATCAAACTGTCAGAGTTGTGTTACTCATTGTAGCGTTTATCAAGTGGACGCCTGTTACTCTCGTTACTAATCAATATCGTCAAAGAATACATTTTCAAATTGAAATAGAGTTCTTGTGAAGTTAATTATTTTATCCACTTGAATGCATTGAAATTTGTTGTAATATTTTTTTATCGCATAGAAAACCTTACGAGGGAATTGTTATATTATCAAGTATGTTACACAATAACTAAATGAGATATATGTTTAATATATGTTTAATGTGTGTACAGTATATAGTATACTGTACTATAATTAAATGTTTAGTGTGGAAATGTTAAGTTTATGAAACATAAAGTAGTAAATATCCAGTGGACCATTTTTACTTAGTAGACTCTTTTGATTTTATAGGTTTGCTGTTGTATGCTTTACTTTGGCTAAAATCAAATCAAATCAAATCATTCTTTATTCAATAAAACACAGAGTACATGTGTTGAATAGAGTCAAGTCAAAAACATTAGAAAGTAAACATTTAGTCGAGGGCTTACACAATAAAAACAATAATGTATTTCTAAGCACTGTGAAGATAAAAAAGTAAATTTAAAATCCATAGCATAACTAAGTTCCCTTAGTTATGTTATGGAATTAAATATAATGTGCTGTGTGTGTAATGTTTTAATATTATGTGCTGATTTTTGTGCTTGAAAAATTCTTCTATCGAATAATAAGGATATTGAATTAAACACTTTTTTAGTGTGCGTTTGAATTTTTTTATATTTTCTTCTATCTTTAAAGGAGCCGGTAGGAGTTGTAAAAATGTTAACCCTGAATAGTAAGTTTTCTTTTTAAATAATTCCAGATTATGCTCTTTTCTTTCTTTAGAAGCTCTCCCTATAAGATACTTAAAAGTACAAGATCCATTAAAGTCACCTCAGAGATTTGCTTGAACTGAAGCTAACGAATTGCTTAGGGTAGTTAAACTTGCATAAGATATTTTTTTATGTAATATTTATATTAGTATTGCATTTGTACTATAGTCTATTAATTGGGGCGCTCTCATTGCCTCACCCTGTATAAATTACTCAAAGGGAACTCAGTAGAGAATGTACAGAGTCCTTGCATAACATACTGTTGTTACTGATAATATTGTATCTGTTTGTTGTTGTTACAAAGGAAGTGTTGATGTTGCAACAACGCCACTGTCAGGAGTGACCACATTCCAGTTAACTCCTACCTACGTGTTAAGTCACTGCCAGTGTGATCAGCACAAACAATCCAGCTTATAAACATCTTTTGTACAGTTTAAAACCGAAGCTTGGTACAACAAAAATTACAAAACACTTTTTAAGTGAATCGGTTCGAAGCTGGGCTCTTTGTAACTATTACAGGATACTTCAACAAGCACAATGTTTAGAGATAATCATTATAAGTTACTTTAAAACACAACATCGTTGAATCTAAATCAGTTGCGCTTGTTGTTATGTCGCGGTATCTACATGAATATAAAAGCCAGGAAACATTTGCAGCGAAATATAGGTTTACATCATAGTAAGTATTCACTAGCAAATTTTATTATCTTTGCTCTTTCCTGTATCGTCGCTAATTCCTGCACTTAAAATATTCATTTCAATCCCTAATTTTCTTAATAAAATGTTAATTTTGGAAGAACTACGACAAAATTCATTGACAATAATTTTTTAAGAATTTTATTCACTCAACTGAACGTATAATTTGAATTAATTTAGGCCTGTATAACTGGGCTTATCAAGACCTCAACCGTTTACTAAATACAACAATACTATTGCTATATGCCTAACATGATAATATTGAGTATGATGTAATTATAGAGATATCATGATGAAAGGAGATGCCACATACAGAAGACGCCTGTATCAGACAGAATGCAGCTCGCTTAGCAGCACTGCTAGTACTGTGTGTGAGTATACTAATACAGGCTGACACACAAACACACGACATACACAATAATCAATTGTGCAACAAATATTGCGCTGCTTTGGCAAAATCTTATTTTAAAGCGAAAACAATCCACGTTTTATAGCTTATAACTAATGTCGTTTGACAAATCAAACATTGTAGCCTACTGAGAGTGAATAATAATCAAAGCGAGCCACTAAATGACTGCAATTTTACTCTTGAAATTATCGGCCAATATTGATTTTTCAGTAAAATTAGAATTTTATAAATTGCTTTGTTACATAAAAAGTGCCCTCGCTGCAGTAATCCTACAGACAAAGGAAATTTCCATTTGCCTGAATTGGATTTTACCAAAATATTTCCTTAACATGTTAGATGTTTACCCCATCTAAATAACATGTCTCTATCTAAATAACATTAGGTATAACAAGTACTTAGGTTTGCTGCAGGGAAAAAACAAGTTTTTTTCATGTCAATGGTATAGTAAGAAATTGATAAATTTGCCAAATGTGTTAAAAATATATTCATAAACAAACAAACTACATTAGTTTTACTTTTTATCCTTAGAATAACATGGTTATTTTAACTATATTTTTTGGATAATCTTTTATTGTACAACAACACTTCACCGCAGAAAATTATTCGTTTTTAAGCTTTACACAGTAAAGCGTTACTTAATTCATGTAAAAATTAATTCAAGCGTTACAATCAAAAAATCTAAATACCTAACACCCCGTTCCCATGACCCGATTGGTGGTTCACGAACTCATTTAAGTTTTATCCCACTCTACATGTTCATGCCAAATATTGTAATTAAAATTGGATTAAAATTTATTATTTATCATGGTAATACACATATGTATACAAACAATACTGTATGTAAATATCTACACATTTAACGAATACAGTTTGTGGCTTCTGGGGACATCAAGATAAAAGAAAGGTCAATGGAACAGGTCATCGTAGTAAGCCATACTGAGTAAATCATTGCTACTGTAGTATTTTCACTTACTTGGAGGTATTTCAAAGTGACGGTAAGGTGTGACTTTGGACTCCGCTGACAAAATAGTCTCCGTGAACTGGACACCTCGTAGAGACGGCAGCTGATTATCATCGTCCATGCTGCAGACACCCTGGAATACACAACATCTTTCGATAAAGAACTTAGTGTAAATCCTTTTCATACAATGAATTTATATATTGACCCATAAAACCGGTTACTGTAAATAGTGTCAGTCTTCCGACCAGCATACAGCACAAGACAAACTATGTTGATACGGTCAGAGAGGCATAACCTTGAATTGCGTAAGGCAACTTACATGGAGATTCTAGTGATCGAATTATTCAAAAGTTATTTTTCACCATGAATAAATAGTATTTAATCTACTTGATTTGTGATCAGTCAGAAATGTATGAACAGCCATACATTTCTTTGTGAATAAGTTTGTGTCATGTGTGTATACCGCAATATGAGTAATAGTAAAATAAATACAACCTCCAAACCCATAGACAGCATTATACGGGGAAAATTTAATTTGGCATTGTAGATAAATTAATATCAAAAATGTTTTAGAGAAGAACACTAGTATTAATACTCTCAGCCAATATTAAGGGGCGTTTATTGTAGCTTTTAATTTTTTTACCCATCTCGCCCAACTTTTTACGCCCAACCCATCTCGGCAAATTTACGCATTTTAAATTCCATACAAACAATATAGTTTAGTCTGTTCAACTGAGTGTAAACATTCCAGTCGGGGAAGTATAACAGTTTACTACGTGTATGCACAATCGTCCATGATGATACCATTGCGTAATCGAAATCTTATGATATATTCAGTTTAATTTTCAAGAACACGCTAACATATACAGGGTTGGGCAAATGTGTGGATAAACCTAGTTAACTTTTTAACGCGTTGCAATAGGAAAACCTAACTCGACACATATTTACAACATAAGAAATTGCACTTTTTCATCAAAGTTACAACTTTGCCCTAGCCCCCAAAATGGGGTATTTTGGGGGCAGCCCCAAATTTTCAAATGTATACACCTATCATGTGACCCCTCATTTTAAAGGGTTTGTTAAGAGAAATTGAATGGCGCAAACCAGAGGTCAATATCGCACGCCTAATCAAAATGGCAGCCATTTTAATTTAACATGAGCAATCATGATAAAGTCTGGACACCCCCAGTTTAGTACAGGTAAAATAGGCATGTAATAACAAAAAAATTGGTCCGTTGATGAAACTTGGTGAAAACTTTCCTTTTGTCATAAGAATTAAGAATCTAAAGAGTCCATAAAAATATTTTAGGTGGAAGGGTGTTTTTGGGGGGGGTGGGGGGGAAATATCAGTTTGAAAAACTGAAAATTATATTTTGAGGAAATATAGGCATGCGACCCATGTTTTTGGGGTTATTTTTTATGCTGAATCGAATAAAAATAAGATCCAGACGATATAACCTCCATATAAAGAGTTATTGTCTTGATTACCTCGTATATTCAATAATTTTCCCAATTAGTACAGGTAAGATGGTACAAAAACACTATATAGGCTACATTAGTGTAAAAATATTGGTCCGTGGATGAATCAGGATGGAAACCTTTCTTTTTCTATAACAATAAAGAATTAAAATAGTCCATAAAAATACCCCCGCCACAGCAAGCCAGCAGACTAAGCGAATTTCCATTTACCTCATTGGATTTTCAATTAAATCTATTTAACTTTTAAATAACATTATTTTTAACGAGTACCTAGGTTTGCTGCTACAGGGAGGGTAATAAAGTGTTTTTTTTTAGTAAAATGTGAATCGCTTAGTTTAAAGTAAATACGTTTGCCAAGTTTGATGGAAATATATCCATAAACAAGCAAACTACAACAGTTTACTTATTCTCGTTAAGAATAACATAGGATTTTAAAATTTATAATTTATTGAATTTTCTCCATAACCGGTAACTGTAAAAAACCACTTAAATATACTACATCATATGTTTTCCACTATATTAAAAGGTTTAAAGATAAATTGAGGAATGTTATGCTTTGAGCGTTAAAAATTAGAAAAAACAAATTTTGACCTCATAAACGCCTCCATAACACCCTGTTTCCACGGTCCGATCATGCTGGTTCGCCAACTCATTCAAGTTTATTCCAACCTACACCTTCAAGCTAAATTTCATCAAAATCGGAACCAAATTACTCAGTTTATCGTGTCCATGGACGTATATATATATATATACTGTATATATGTATATAAATTTGAACGAAGGGTGTTGTTTTGTGGTTATTACTATTAAAATTACACCTGGGAAACTTGTATACCTACCCGTTTTCTCTAAAACCTACAGCTGTAAAAGAAAGTACTTAAGAATAAAGATACTGTATCTTAAAATTACATGCTCTATTGTTATCTGTCATAAAAATATTGGGTTTTCCTGTGCTAGTTCTAGATTTTCACCATAATAAATGGCGATGGTAAAATATATTGCAGTAAGTATGCCCACCACTAAGTATTAATATAAGTATAAGCAAACAGTTTAGGCGATAAAGAATATATTGTAATGATACAAAGATTAAAGAAAAAAACTTATGGTTAATCATTTGACTATAAGAAAAATAAAAAAAATAAATAAAAAATAGTATAATAAGATTTATACTAATTATCTTCTTCACAAAAATGGTTTGCCTTCATTCAAGTCTTTTGGTAAATGAGTGTTGGTTCCTTCTCTTCTACTTCCGCATTCAGACTTGTAAGGCTTTCACACACCTTGTAGGTGTGTACATGTGATTACACTCTTCTTGAAGCTGCACTGTTTTGTTAAACAATTGCCTTTGCATGTACATGACACCAACTTCAGAATATTTTCTGGGGTTACATCTGTCATATTATTTGGTAGCAACAAATTTCCATCCTAGTGTCCAACCCCTCTGTTTAGGCACTTTTTTATTACCAAACCATAGCTGAACTTTATTACATCTAGGCCCTATATGATTTAACATTTCATCCGACGAGGGTGGCAGCGATTCCAGTTTTGAACTAGCCTTTTTCAAAGACTTTTGAAATAGTCTGTATAGAACTTGCAATTCAATGTAGAGAATATTTACAATTTTTTCACCCCATACATCGGAAAATAAAGTTTCTCCAGCTTCATTAACTTCAATTTCTGTTGAACCTTTTGAGTTGAAAGTTGATATGACTTTCTCCATAGCAGCCTCAGATTCCAGTATTTTAAGAATCTTTTTTTTACCTTTCCCAAATATAACACTAGTGCTGTCACAACCACTAAATGGATGGCCCAGCAATACGTAGTTGTGGATGTTTAAATACTACTGTTGTAGAGAAGTCGGTAAAAAAAAATTACGTCCGTGAACAATTTTTGTCCGATTTTGATTAAATTCGGTTGAAGGAGTAGGGCGGAATAAACTTGAATGAGTTCGCGAACCAGCATGATCGGACCTTAGGAACGGGGTGTTATGAGGGCTTTTATGGGGTAAAAATTGATTTTTTTCAAAACAATTGGTTTGGGGAGCAAAACATAAAACTCTTCAATTTATCTTTTCACCTTTTAATATAGTGTAAAAACAAATAATATAGTATATTTAAGTGTGTTTATAAGGTTATGGGTTACGGAGAAAATTCAATAAATTATAAATTTAAATTTCCTATGTTATTCTTAAAGATAATAAGTAAACTGTTGTAGTTTGCTTGTTTGTGAATATATTTCCACCAAACTTGGAAAAAGTATTTACTTAAAACTAAGCTATTAATATTTTACTAAAAACAAACTATATTACCCTCCCTGTAGCAGCAAACCTAGGTATTTGTAAAAAATAGTGCTAAAGGTAGGCTATTTAAAAATTACCTAGATTTAATTGAAAATCCAATCAGATACCGGTAATTCTAAATGGAAATTCGCTTAGTCTGTAGGTTTGCTGAGGCGGGGGTATTTTGATGGATTATTTTGATCCATTATTCTTATGGAAAAAGAAAGGTTTTCAACCTGATCCATCAACGGACCAACTTTGTTATACTATGGTGTTTTTTGTACCATCTTACCTGTACTAATTGGGAAAATTATTGAATATCAGAGGTAATCAAAACAAAAACTCTTTATATGGAGGTTATATCGTCTGGATCTTATTTTTATTCGTTTTAGCATAAAAAATAACCCCGAAAACATGGGTCACATGCCTATATTTCGTCAAAATATAATTTTCTGTTTTTCAAACTGATATTTCCCCCCCCACCCCCCCCCCCCCAAAAACACCCTTCCACCTAAAATATTTTTATGGACTCTTTAGATTCTTAATTCTTATGACAAAAGGAAAGTTTTCACCAAGTTTCATCAACGGACCAATTTTTTTGTTATTGGAGGCGTTTTTGGTATTATTTTACCTGTACTAGTTAACTTTATAACGTATGGCAGTGGGAAAACCAAACTCGGCACATGTTTACAACATAAAAAATGCACTTTTTCATTAAAGTTAGAACTTGTACCCGGCCCCCAAAATGGGGTATTTTGGGGGCAGCCCCAAATTTTTAAAAGTAAACACCTATCATGTGACCCCTCATTTTAAATGGTTTCTCAAGACAAATTAAATGGCGCAAACTAGAGGTCAATATCGCACCCCTAATCAAAATGGCAGTCATTTTGGAATATCCCTTTTTAATTTTTTAACAGGTTATAGCAGGAAAACTAAACTCAGCATACCTTTATGAAAAAAGAGAATTCACCTTTTGGTCAGTATTAAAATATTTAATTTTTAAAGTTAACTGGGGGTGTCTTGACTCTATCATGATTGCTCATCTTAAATAATTGAAATGGCTGCCATTTTAATTAGGCGTGGGATATTGACCTCTGGTTTGCGCCATTCAATTTCCCTTGAAAAACCCTTTAAAATGATGGGCCACATGATAGGTGTTTACATTTGAAAATTTGGGGCTGCCCCCAAAATACCTCATTTTGGGGGCTGGGGCAAAGTTGTAACTTAGATGAAAAAGTGCAATTTCTTATGTTGTAAATATGTGCTGAGTTTGGTTTTCCTATTGCAACGCGTTAAAAAGTTAACTAGGGGTATCCACACATTTGCCCAACCCTGTACATTACAATACTTTTTCGTAAAAATTTTCTTTAAATACCTTTGAGGCAATCCTCATGCCTACGCCAACAAGGATCTGGCATACTTGTAAACTCGTTGAACGTTTGATTTTATTGCAATGTTTAAAACATTGAAGCCCGTAGCTATTTGGTAACAGCTGGTGTATTGCATATTCAAAAATGCAAAGCAGGAATATCGTAAAAAGTGCTTGATCGGGCTGTGAGCTGGTTTAACAGTTTAACCGCAGCGAAGGTGTCGGGCTGACAGGTAGCTCCGCCCTCGATATTGGCTTTGAACAAAGTTTTCCAATCTTTACGTCCTGGAGAAAAGTTTGAAGGTAATTTTAGTTGGAGACAGATCGTTGTCTCCCAAATCTTTGATTTGACATCCGGGCTAATATTTTATTTCTAAAGTTTAAAGAACAATTTGCTTTACTGGAGTCATTTTAAAAGTTGTTGTAAATTTGAAAAATCCTTCTTTCGACGGTCAGTGTAATTTGTCTAAACAGTTGGGAATATATTGAAATATAGATATAAAATACTCATTAGTGTTATAGAGTAAAATAATCGCTAGTAAATTACAACACTAAAGTTTTAATTTGAAATGATATTTCAATGATGTGTCCTGGATAATTTTAGACTTTGCGACACAAAACCATGTACTATACTGTATATATATATATATATATATATATATATATATATATATGTATGTATGTAAAAATGATAGAAAACTTCGAAACATTTTCAACAGCATATAGCCGACTGAACTAATGTTTATCGAGGTAATAGACCAAAATATCTTTTTTAATGAGCCTAAACTTACATAATTACTCATGTTTCATAATTTAAACGGTTTTAAATAATAAATACCTTAAAGCTTATTTTTGGACTAAATTAAAGACTGAAGAGTTTTATATCGTAAAAAATATGGAATCTTTCAGAGGAATTACTTAAACATTTAAAAGTAACAAAAATATAATACTCTAAACTGTAATTCAACTTTACAGTGTGTCTCATTTATGTTGGCTATAATTCTATCTAATAATTGAACTCGCATCTTAATTGAATGCATAAAATATAAGGATCATAATTTTTAGCTAACGTGATGCTACAAAGAGCCAACGTTGTACTTTTTTTTAATATATAAAGTAGTTTGAACTAATTACAAATTATAATAATTATAGTATCTTAAAAACCTGAAACTACTAAACTACTGGTTTCGACCACAAACTTATGTTTATGGTACGAGCTCAATAGCAGTGAAAAATAAATGCTTATTTAAATAAAAACGAGTTAGATTCTTTTTACACAACTATCCGCCTACAAGTGGCTTGATAAAATAAACAGCTTGTTGTTGTTGTTGGATAGTGAAAACACCAGGGATTGGGATGTTCTTTTACAACAGCGAAAACAGTTAAAACATCCCACGTGGATATTAAATAAAAATAGTACCAGGGAACCGAGAATTGCTCGTAGCGTTTGATTTGTAGGAAACGTTAAAAATGAACATAGTCCTACATAATCATGTACAATTTCCATCATATTATAAAAAAGAGTCTGTAATAAAACAAATTATATGGTAACATTTGATCATGCTCACGTATTGGTGCTATTTGCATAAAATTTTGTGCACGTCTTAAGTCATTGAAAACCATTGTAGTCCTAAATAGACTCTCACTATTGACACGGTAATACAAAAATAAAAATTCTGCATTTAAAAATTGTATCATTACAGTATTAAAATTTTTTACAGCTTGACCATTAAGACTTGACGATATAACAGTTAATGTAATATTTTATAGTTTATTAGCATATGTTTAACATCGGGTTTCCTCTACCAATTAATTGTCTTTAATTAATGTATTACATATACAATGTACTTACAATGTGTAGTGTGTAGGGATGAGCGTGAGAGGTCCACGACGAGATACCAATACAACTCAACACAACTTGAGTTGCTGCTACTTCATAAGGCGAGGTCAGCACGGTGCTGCACGCCTACAGGATCGCGTCGTCCTACACGTCACATACGTCACATTCTACACAACAAACGTCACATTCTACACGTCACATAGTAATACACGTCAGATACTACACATTTTACACTGGTGATGATTTCTTGTGATTGCAGCAACACCCTTGATAGAAGTCGTAGCAACCGCGATATCTTTCTGACATCACGGCAACAAACGGAATCATATCTCGATGATATTTTATAATTGCGACGACTCATGTGTATATGGCAACATCGTGATCATGTTCTACGATCGCGATGCTTTTGCTTGACACGTCGGCGTAAAATGAGGACAAATAGCGGAAATTGTTCTTGTAAAATTCACAGATTATTAACAATTTTTGGATATTTTGCTACAAGTGCAGGGCTCTCAAAGGCAAAGGTTATATGTATGAACAAAATTCATTGGACAAGCTAAACGATTATGTTAAAATAACAATGTTGTACCGTTAGAAGTGTACGAAAAGTTTTAAAGCTTTCAAGAGCAATTTTCATTAGTTAAAACAGAAAAATACGAACATAATTTGCAAACTTATGCTATTCGGTTGGGAACGATAACAATAAAAGTTCTCGAATTACTAAAGTTGAATGGGGCCGTTTATCACCTTCTGTTGTTTATGTTGCATTCCGCTTGGATCAGCTGGCGTTGGGCAACACGAACTTAAATTGTTATGCAATTGTCCTATTATCATTGAAATAAAAGTGTACTTTATGTTTTAAAACCACAATAAACTAGTTTGCTTACGACAGTTTTTAAACTAGCCTTTTCAATCCAGTTTTTAAAATTGAAAAGATCGACTTTACAGTATTGTTAAACGACCTTTACAGTATTTATTTGTTATTTTACAGTACAAGTTTGGACCAATGAGGTTCAAGAATTGTGAGAAAGAAGTAAAATTGTAACCCTGCAAAGTTCAACTTATTAGCTTCTAAGACCAATTTAACTGATTAAACAATGAGTGAGTGCTTGGGACACTAAGTTGTTGCATCACAATCAGTGACAATGAGAGCTTAACACATTGCGTGCGGGTCAGTCGCCGGCGACCGGTTCCTTATCATTGAGATAAGTGCAATTTTCAAGAGTAAACATGACGGCCGCATTGAAAGAGTTAAACGAAAACATACCTACTCTCTTAGAAGTTAGGAGTAGTTCAGTAATTACAAAACGATCGTAGGTAAAATTAGTGTACGCAACCCGCGTATCAGCCTTCACGACACTCGAAGAAGTTTTAAAGGCCCGTGCCTTAAATTTTCTACTCGTGCCGTAAAGACTATTCTTGGAACGCGATCGTTGCGCAAACTACTATTAACAAACTGTAGTATGCTTCAAGGAGCCTACTCATAAGTCTGCGATAGATGTTTAATATTTTTCAATTTACTTTGTATCTTTTAAAAGTTTGAGTCTTTACCAATTATATTTTTTTTTATCATTGACTATTATTTAAAGTCAAAGATTTAATTTAACGATTTAACCTAACTCAATTAACCCGGCAAGCACAATATGGCTATACGTTGTCCGAGAGGCAGTTCTGAATGGAAGATCAATGAGTTCCACATGGAACAAGCTTCTTGTTTAATCACTTGAATGTAACGAATCAATCACTCGACACAAGACTTACAGCATCTCTGTATTACCTTCTCACCACCTACATTTCCACAGTTATCTTGGCTTTGGAATTACACAAGATATTTGGTGTTGTTTTCAATTATAGAATTAATGATTTTCATAGACACAAAGTTTAAATTATTTTATAAAGTTTTAAGTCCAACATCTTTAAAATATGTTTGAAGCGTATTAATAGTAAAGCTAGTACCTACCCAAAAAGAAAATTAAAACGTGTGACGAATGATATTTTTCTGGAAAACAATGTTGATTAAAGACGATTGATATCAATAAAATATGAATAACTCTTAATACATGGATACGTTCCAGCTAAATGACACCAAGCACAACTTTGGCCTTAGTTTGTATATTCTCTGAAATTTTCTGTGTTGATTATATAGCGACCAGAGTGTCTCCCAGGTAGCAAGTTTTTTTTTTATCGATATCCATTAATTTACAGTTAGAAAGCTTAGTACATAAACTCAAGTAGACCATTTTTGTCTTGCTTGGATTTCGATTTACCTACACCTCCTACCATTTTTTGTGGAAATGAAAATAATTCAACATATTAAATTAGCATTGTTAACCCACTATTAGAGTTATATAAAAACATCATTGAACGTATAAAATACATCATCGCGTACCTATCACTCAATGAAGTAGAGGAAGCATATTTTATTTCCTAAGCCTGCAAATGTCAATACAAGTTCCAGACGTACGAGTATATCAGGAATATTTCATAGTTTTCCATCTTTCCCTGCCGTTATTTTTCTCTTAGTTTGTTCTTTGTTAAAGTAGAATAAACGAAAAGATTAAGAAGAAAGTGAATTCTAATTTTTTAAAATTATGATTTAACCTCACAATAAGTAAATAAAATAAAAATGTATTGCCATTAATAAGTTAAAGTGAATTAATTCTGAAAAATGTGTAAAACTTCACAAAACAAATTGTCTAAGATTCAGCTAGAACGCAAAATAATGTTACAACTATGGTGTAAAACATTGTATTATGAAATTATAGCACCAATTAACTGACACTTAATCTTTCAGTTAACTAACCGAACTAAAACATTTCCTGCATGTAGACTATAGTATATTGAAATGTAAAGAGGAAATATCCAACCGCACCGGAAGTAAGGATGGTTGACAACCGTTGGTCTCGTTAAAATGATATAAATCATAACTAGCGGTCTGTTCGCCGCTACGACGGAAGTGACATTAGTTATACAATGTCATGTTAATACCCACCAACGTTATTGTTACTTGTATAAATATTTAATGTATGTCAATAAAAATAAGCACTATAATACATTTTAAATAAATAGGCTTTTTACGTGCTTGCACTTATCTTTAATATGGTAACTAATTTACCTGCTAAACATTGTGCATTTTGTTTCAAACTGATGTAAAAATTTGAATAAAGGAACGCAGAAATTGCAATCACTAGTTGATCGTATCACTCTACGTTGATTGTAGAATTAAAATATGATTGACAATGCTTGATTTATACTGATACGTGGTTACTGTACATTTTGGGGAAATTTATTCATTTTGGGCTAGTTTATAATACATTGCTTGCAAATCATTTATATAATATTGGCTCACAAGCAAATATTACACGCGTAACAATTCAAACATTGTTGAACACAAACCCCACGCATATTTGTTATATTTCCGGTTCATTCAACCAGGAACGAAAACAGACACTCCATGCATAGTTATATTAATGCAGTGTGCATGAGATATCTGCTCGACTCCCTGCATTTATCAATCATTAAATCTGTATTAAATAACTATAATTGGAGAATCATATGAATGTATAATGCAATTGTTCATTTGTCAGCACTTAAGCCCTGTCAGAGATAATTGAATGTGCGTTATACACCAAAATATCAATTACACCATTACAAACATAATTGGATTTACATAAACTCTTTAAGACGCATTAAAGAACCACATTCATTTTTACAGAAATATTTAGCATAGCTGACTATCTAAGAATTGATTGTTCCAGGTTAAATTGATCCACGCAGGCAATACAAATGGAGTTCTTTTGAATATTATGAATATTGTCATCTCCGAAAGAGCTTAGGTAAAAACAAAACAACGATTGGAGTTAAGAGCGGGAATGGCATTGAATTATATTTTTAGCTACACTTCTGTGAAATGACCTGAAATGATCGTTACATGTTTATCACATGCGAAAATGTATCATTACATTGTCTACATTACTACAGCAAAAGAATGTTTACTATGCGAAAGTAATGTTTACTATCTTTTTTGGATTTTGCCGACGTAAACAAACAATGATCTGTTATTGTTTAGTCGACTGTATTAATTTTCAACGACAAAAACTGTACAACCAAAGGAAATATTACATATTTCTAATATTGATTATATAACCTGAAAAATGCTATGAGTCTTGTAATGTTCAAGTAAATAATTAATTAGTCTTTGTAGTGTAGCGAAAAGTAACGTTCAAAACACGAGTGAAAGTAGGTCTATACATATTCTTGACCATTTAAAGTGCTTGATAAATCTCGAATTTCAAACATGGATTCATTTTTTATGCAATGACTCACTTTCTACTCTTGTTAATGAAATATACTATTTTTGCAATGCTACACTAAATACAATACTTATGTTCTTATATTTACCATTGAACCTACCTAACGATATAACCATGTTTTCTGTGCACGACTCTATGACAACGGCGGTGCGCCATTTAGATTGATGTAATGATTTTATATAAACAGGGAAACTAACGCTAGCCTCTAGTGAAATATTCAACTATCTCTTAAAGGATGTTTATGTTCATTGTTTTGTGAACCATGGGGAATAATAGATATTCGGTTGAGTCCGTTTAACATAAAATTATAATGACTGAAAGCTGGAATATGCATAAACAGTGTCCTTTGTACATCCCGATTATAGAAAGTTATCATACGACACAAACAAATAGAGTAATACTGTACACGGATTCAGATTATGGTTTTTGTAAAATGATACATTACGGAGTAAATTTTTTTTAACTTATATATGCTCTCAATATTTATTTCATTCAAATGTTTTGGTTTATAATCCCATTATTAATTAATGTTATAGCGAAAATAAAATATAACTTTATCATATATTGCAATTTCACAGTCCATTTATGTATTAAACCATAACAATCGATTTACTAGTTTTTATATTATATTATTGTTATATTATTAAAAGTTATATTATTGTATCACGCCATTGTTATTTCTTGACGAAACTACAAATAATAAATATTTTGATTTCATTTAACTTGATAACTTTTCAATACTGTCATTCGACCTAAGATTCCCTCGTTTTGGAGGTGCTTGAACTCGCGGAAACTTGTCAGAAAAATA